ATGAATGATAAAATAAGATATTTAAAAGGAAAGGAATAGGCTGGGAAAAGCAATACAGTATTGCTAATTATCAGACAACAGTGCTGGTATAGCTTGGACTTATTGAGATCAAGACTTAGGCAAGTTATGAATGTAACCCATAAATCTCTTACCCCTCATACCTACAAAAGAAACAAATCAGGCCAATAGTGGCTGGTATTGGCAGTGGACTTCAACACAGGTCCACAGCAGTGGGAACTCAGCAGGTACAAAAATGCAGCACCTGTGGAGTACCTCAAATGACCTAAGTACTTAAAATACTAAAGCTTAGTTCAGGAGTTTTGTCCAAATTTTTGCTCCATGAGTGAGCAGAAAACATTTGCCTTGCATTGGTCACTGTTAAATAACTGGAGCTCTACATGTTTAGCCCTATGCTAAACATCTCAAATCACAAGTGACAGAAATGCTACATAGTAAAGTGAAGAAGTTGTTTAATGCCTATTTTTAAGAAACTCTTTTTCTTTTTCCCTCACCTTGTAGAAAGGTCTTTGTCAATTACCCACGCACAATCAAGTCAAAGGCTTTTCAGCATTGGCTTATGAAATCCTAGACTATGTGGATCTAATTTTTCTTATTTTTCTTTACAGTTTTCATTCTTGTGGAAATAAAAAGAAGCTTATAAAGTGGATCTGAAGACCCTGCCAAAGACTGTGGACAGTATAAACAGGTAGACTTAGGGGCAGTGTATCATGCACCATAGTGGAATAGTATCACCTCCTAAGAGTGGCATAGCCAAGAGTGAACAGAGGTTGCTCGTTAATAATTTGGGAAAGAGAGTTTACCCAGTTCTTCATGTCCAGCTGGCAACCTCAAGTCAGGGCGTTTTCTTGTTACACTACTTTCTCAAACATGTCCCTGGCTGACACTGAGCAGAGGAGTAGGCTTGGCTCAAGCATGCCAACAGGCTTGTGTGGCAGCCTGGTGCTACAGGGATGCTGGGGATGGGGGTAAGAGAGGGAAGAATGTTCCAGAAAAGGGGTAGAATAGAAGGATTTAATCTCTTACAAATAAGAATGTAAATAATCCATGTCAAAGTCTGGTGTCTCAGGCCAAAATACAGCGTGTTTTGGACAAAGGTAATAAAGAAGCACTATGAAAATGTAAAAATGTGAGAAATGATATATTATAGTATTTGTTTTTCATATCTGAATGACTAATAGATTGTGTTAGCAATGAATTTTTGATGTCTGAAGAAACATTAAAGTTAGATGAACTACTGGTTTATTAGTTTCTGGAAGAATAATTCTTCCTTTTATGTAATGTAACAAAAAAAGCAAGACACTGTCACTGTGGAGACAGAAAGACATAGCCAACTATCAAGGATCAGAGTGGCATTGTAAAAAGGAGTTTCACCTTTAGGTCACTGGTTGATTTTTAAAAGAGGAGTTGCCACATGCCTTTGGGGAGTTGTTTGATGTCCTGGGTCAGCTTGATCTCAAATACAGCTCAGTTCCTAACAGACAAGTGTTCCCATCATAAGCACTGCAGCAATAGATAACCACTGTGATGAGCAGAAAGGAGCATCCTCGAACCAGCTCTCCAGGAAATCATGTGTCACAGCAGCCATCCCTTTGCAAAAATAGAAGAGCACCCATTTTCCAGTCCCCAGTCACCTAAAGCTGAACTAATGTTCAGTGGATTCCATAATATAAATAGAATCACTTTGTTTCCCCTTCTCAGACACTGAAGTTTGCAGGGAAGGCTGACCCAGACCTGGGGCTGTTACCTTAGGAACAGGTCTAAATCATGTTTGAAGCATCTTGTTCATCACCAAGTATCTGTGATCATCAGTACCTTGCTTTTTCCACAAAAATATCCAAGCACTGATTTAGCAGGCCTTGCTTAATGTTTTTAACCCTTTCAGTCACTGAAGAAGCCTGTTGTGAAAAAGTATGCTAAGAAGACAAATAAACAAATCCAACCAACTCACTTCCTAATTTATATTTGCAAATTCTAGACAAACTTAATTAGGACTTAGTGTTGGAAAGGAACAGCTTTATGTGCCACAGTTTAGATGTATCCCTAACTAAAAACAAATACATAATTAAACCCTTTAAAAGAAACATGAGGAAGATAATAGCATAATTATTAAAGGAGCAGTCCTAGAATGAACGGTCACCTCAAACTGTAAAACCACAGCATAAAATATTACACCACAAAATCCCCATTTCATTTGATTTATGCTTCACAAAAAAGCACAACAAATGTTATACAAACATTTTCAATGGCTAAAACCTGACTATCAGTAGAAAAACACAGCCATATACATTCCTCATTGCTTAACTTTCTCAAAACAATCCAATGTAAAGACCACTGATGGAAATATTCTAATATTCTGCAGTCACAAAGCACCAGAGTGCTGTGTCCAGTGCAGATCACCTTGCTTGTACTTTAGAGGTAATACTTAAGCTTCAGTTTATTGTTTGCAAAGAACTCTGAACTCTCCTGGCCTCTCTTATCCTAAAAGCTCAGAATAATCACTGCTGTTTAGTTGCACATATGTTTAGGTAACATTACAAATAACATTTAATTGCATGGCCATTAAAAACAAGCATACTGGAAATAGCAGAGATTAAGGAGCCACAGTGTCTTTGCCCGTCTCAGGAAGTGCTATGAACAGCTCTGGAAAAGACACGTAATGTTGCCCTCTGTGGATCTTTCAGACCAAAAGGAGCAGGAGGAGCAGATTATTAATAGCATCTAAAAAAGGTGAATCCCAGAATCTATTTAACACCAAAAAGGAGAAAAATTCGAGAGAAATTATATCAGAAACCACACTTGTTGTTCAAGAAGGATACCATATTTTCTCTCACTGTTGCAGAAACAAAGCCACCAAGTGTATTTTCAAGAAAATATTTAAATAAAATTGATGAAATGTCAACACTTGACTGCTTGTTTAAATTGGACAAAATTATAAAAGCTGTTACAGAGTGTTCAATTTGTTCCAATGTTATTATATACCATAAGGACTCATTCAAGCAGGGAGAATACTGCAGACAAGGCGTGAAGATTACAAGATGTCTTAGACTTCTCCCTGGTACAGTTTAAAATACAATCTAAAGTAGGTGAAATTCTTTTAGTGGAGCTAATTTCTTCGCACCGGGGCTTGATGAGGAGAAAAGGAATCACTGTTCCTTTATGCTGCAAGAACACTTTGTTATTTGCATAACAGGAAGTTAAATGAACCAAAGCTTCAGACAGCAAAAATCCTACCATCAATTAATGTGACAAATTTTTAATAGGAAAGCAAATCAGATTTATTTAAAAACTGCGGTCTTAGTTCTCGTGTATTCATATTTTCCAAAGGTTGAGCTTATAGTTTATATTTTTCGTAGTTTATGCTTTCTGAGGAGTATGGATGTCTATCTGAGAGGGCTTTTGTTCCTGTGCTGCTTCTGCTGAGTGTACTCTATATATGTAGCCCAATGACTAATCAAGAGGACCATGGCAATCTGTAGTTGTTTATGCTCCAGGTGCACCACGGCTGATGATACACACTGCCATCACAAGCACCACTCACATTATCAACTGAAAACAAAGCATTTGAACGTTAACTTTTTCTCTCTCTTTCCATAATCTGTCACGCTCAGATGGGAAGCACAAGGCAAGTATCCGAGGACCATCTGTAATACTTCCAAGACCTCACCTAGGAAATAATTTTGATACCCTTGCATATTCTAAACACAGGCTGAATTCTTGTATTCCAGCTACAATACAGATGTGTTGGTCTGAAATTCTGGACCAGACCTCTTTGCACAGGCACTTCCAGGCTGTGGAGGATGATGCACAGCTACAGTCTCTCAGTAGTGCTTATGGTCTCTCACATCAACTCAGCACACCAGCTGTATGACATTGCACTGAACAGCTTGTACCTCACCTGGAAAGCAGCACACCAACGGAAGATGAATCCCTAGCTGTTTAACAATATTCATTCATCCATACTTCTTGCCCAGCATAGATATTTAGCTTTCAAAATTAGACATCCATACATTGAGACATCCATACATCTGTCAAGGCAGTCAACTTTATACTGAGTTTAGCAAGTGAGAAACAAAGGGTTCTGACCATAAATAAGAATAATATATTCCATGATTCACTGTGTCTTCCACAAGACCAAGTAAAAAACAAGGTAGTTAATAAAATATTAAGAGATTCTAAGCATATAGTAGCAAGCTGTAAAACTAGCATGAGAAATGTGCCAGCCTACTTCAGCCATAAAACACTGGAGAAATAGAACCTTAAAATTTTAAAACTGATCATAATTTTTTTAATATCACTGTTATGAAACTTTTCTTTTTACTATTATTCAAATGGAAATTCACTAAGGCTTCCAGACTGGCCTCCAGTTGGGATTCTTGTGCTCTGCAAGGCCCTGTGCTAGTGTGGGGTCTCCTGCATGGGGGGGCTACCAGTGGTGGACCTCTCTCACAGCTTACAAGCTTCTTTGCCAACAAGCTGTTCCTCACTTAGAGCCAGACACAATCCTCCAAACAACCCCCTAAAACACTTCAAACTTTGCAGAATTTTACCCCTTTATCACACCTTAATGCCCCATAACCTTTTAAATGTCACATCTCAAAATAGTTGTTTCTTCAGCATACAAAACAGAAAAAGAGTTGTTTCAAAGTAAAAATAATAATAATTTAAAAAATATTTCTTCTGCATTGCAGAATTCCCCTCTGCCTTAGTTTACTATTTATAAACCACCAGTCTGGGATTAATTATTATAAATCCTTAAAGCCGAAAAGAAGATTTTAGGCATTTTATGCTACGCATAATCTATACCATTATTAAACTGCAGCTGAAATGCACTTTATGTCCTATTTCTGTTGGCCACCTTTTAACACTTATGCATTTTACCTATAGTAAATTTAACTCCCTGGAAGAAAGCATTTCTGGCTATTTTGAAACCACCAGACCACCCATCTGACGTGGCACTGCTCAGTGTCAGACATGCTTACCGGGCACCCCGGCCCTCAGCCAGTAATCGATGTCTGTCCCATCTGCGTTGTCGTAAACATCTGTAACGTTGATGGGCTGCAGCAGAGTCATGATCTCTTTCACGATGTCCCGAGCTTTAGCATTGCCAGTAAAACCCAGCCCAGATGGCTTGAAGGTGCCCTCATCAGACTCCATGACGATATCAAAGTTGGAGATATTTTCCTAAACATGTAGGAAAAGAAGATATTGAGCTGTGATTGCTGTTTCAGATGGCATCATATACTGGATTCTAGATGTCAGCGTGAACATATCATAAGAAATTTATTTAAGAAGCCGAGAAATGTTTCCAGTGACCAGGTGTATATAAGGAGAAATGAAGGGACTTAACCTTTCTGTATGAAAATGCTGTAACAGTTCAGTTCTGTTCTGAGTCTCTGATATTCTGTAGGAGACACAACATAACCAGTCTGGTGTCCCGAAATACTTGCTTTAAGACTTCTGAAATGCCATCTAGAAAGGTAAGCCAAGGTTTCCCTCGCAGCTCTCCCTTTCTTCTCAGACCCGAATCTCAGAAATTCTGTTGCAGTGGGGAGGGTACACAGTCCCATGGCTTTAAAATTAGATGCATCCAAAGTCTGCTTAGACTGTGAAGGACATCCCATTTGAAAAGCCTGTTTAGAAACATATTATTTGTAATATATCATGTAGTCAACACTGATGTTGGTTGGAGGACTCAAATGCCAAGGTTCCTCTTGACCTGAAGGAATATCTATTTTAAGGAAATTTGTGCTTCCAAGGTAAATCCCCACATGAAACATGAAATGCAAGATTTTGTGTACAAAGCACACAATAACATTTACTTTTAGCATGCACTTGGAAGATTCTGTTTAACTAAAAGAACAAAAATTAGCATCCAGAGCCATTTATCTGCTTCCCAAATTTGCTCAGAATGCTCAGTTACAAAGGTTTAATTAGAATAAAATACACAGGGATATTATTTGAAGGAAGATCTCACTCTTTTGGAGAGGCACAAAATTTTTTTTCAAAATAAAACAGCTTTTGGTCATGTCAGGCAGAAAAAAGCTGTACTTCAGACTATCTTGAATGTGGCTAAGAGAACTTACTGCAGGTTTTAGTCCTATGCTGAGATCTCATTCCAGAATTTTATGGCTGCCACGAGTTATTACAGGAAAATTGTTAAAAGAGATGTGAGATAGCAGTGAGTAACAGATCCATGCCATTAACAGCCTACAATTCAATAAAGAATTCTTTCACCTTTTTCTGGAGATAAACCCAATTATGAACTACACGTGGCTGTGAAGGATTCATCTAAGTTTTCGGAAGTCTTTTATAGAAAATGCCAAGAACTCTTTCATGCTTTCCCAAAACTTATCTCTTTTGAGTGAAACAAGTTCTAACATAGCAGTTATTTACTTTTAACTTACAAACACAGTTAAAACAGCAGTTAAAAAATGTTATACAAAATCTTTGCATGATGAAGAAACTGTGAATGTTATAATACCTCAAAATAACCAATCTTTCTACCCACCCATTTGGCTACTGGAAATCAAAGTGGAAATAACAAATGTTGTCACCAAACTGGCAATTACTACTTTTATACAATGGAAAAAACCTTCAGTTTGTAAAAGGTTAAACATAAATAATTAGGCTACATGTTGTGTCTAGGCCTGTCATCAAATGTAGTATATAGGTCATGAGCCTCAACATGAATCATGATTCACAGACCCTCTGAATGTAGTGGGAGAGAAGCAGGCCAAGAAAAGCACACTGCATGCTAGAAGGGTCTGATGACGCTCCAATGCCACAGGCACAACAGAAAGAATGTCTCAAAATGTAAATCTTCTTTATCTCACATGCTCAAGGAGCAAGACTTAGGAAAGACAATACACGTTTTGGTGTGCTACTGGGAATTGCCTATGAAAGCTAATGTAATTACAGTGAACCCTTCAAAATACCATGATATGTTACTCCGCCACTATAGCTGAGTCTCCAAAGCAGGACTTGTGCTCATTTTTAGAGAAGCTGTAATGAGTAGAACCAATAAGGCAAGGGAAAGGGACTATTCAGGGCAGTGAAGTAAGAAGAGTGAACATGGGAACAACGTGGATACTTAGAAGAAATCTCACCTATCACTCAAAAGAACAGAATCCCTAAGTTCAAAAATTTAATGAACTGCTAGTATTGCATCATTACTGCAGGCTTCGTGTTTTGTCACATAAATGTTTGCATGTGTTTTTAATATGAAACTGAGTAAACAAACCACCCACAATACGTTACACCATATTGTTGCTCTGTAAGAAAGCTGTTCAGTTCTAAGAACGTGCTGGAGAGGCACGAAAACAAGACACCCTAGGGAGAGGAGTTGACTTCACTGAGGAACAAAAGAGAAACAGGTCACAACTACTTGAAGTATCATGTGTCCTTGAGAAAGGTTTTTCCCTATTCTGTCCACCAGAAGATGGGATTACTTATAAAACTATTCGCCATTGGATTTGAGAGTTGCAATCTTAAAAAAAGTTAGATTGGTTTCACCATACCCATTTTTGTACGGGTATATTGGCATTTCTACTTACATGGAAAGAAATATGTGCTGGAAAACATGCTATAGGGAAGATGCATTGTTGTCATTTGCCATCTGTGGTGCAGGAATAACTGCCACTAGCAGAGACCATACATTGTCCCCTTGACTAATTCAAGGGAACAGCACAACAAACAAGTAAGATTTTATAAAATAACTGCAGGCTCAGCTGTTTCCTTCAGTTGTTCTTATAGTGAATGTATGATTTAAATAAGCATTTTAAATTCAGTACATAATTTTTTTCTGCAAATAATCTCATTTGCTGTATATTTATACTGTGCCACTTCTCTTAATATGCACCAGAAAATTAAAACTTGTTCATGCAACCTGCTGCCTAATTCTCTGAACATTAAAACAGACTTTTATCCTTTATTTTCCCATGACTTGGTCATAGAAGAGGTCACCTCTCTTTATCCTATCATGTTTAGCTCTTCAACTGAATGATTAAATGAAACATTACAATAAGTAGTGCATGGGAAAATTTGCTTTCTATAGCTTGCTACAGAAATTGCATTGCATTGAATACACAATTAGGCATGATCCTTGCCAACACTTCTCCTATTTTAAACTTTTTAATTTTAATTACTTTTATTTCTGTTTTCTCTATAAACAATCTATTTTTATCTCTGCAAAACTAAAAATGTAAGTACTTCTCATCTCTCAGGCAAAAACTTAATAACATGAAATTACAGAATAACAGAATGGGTAAAGTTGGAAGGGACCACAGTGGGTCATCTGGTACAAACTCTCTGCTCAAGTAAGTTCATTCTAGAGCACATGGCACAGGATTGAGTCCAGATGGTTCTTCAATATCTCCAGGGAAGGAGACTCCACAACCTCTTTGGGCAGTCTGTTCCAGTGCACAGTCACTTGCACAGTAAAGTTCTTCCTCATATTCAGGTGGAATGTACTGTGCATCAGTTTCTGCACGTTGCCTCTTGTCCTATTGCTTGGCATCACTGAGAGGAGCCTGGCTCCATCCTCTTGACACCCTCTCTTCAGATAATTGATGAGGTGCCCTCTCAGTCATCTCTTCTTGAGGCTACTGTGCATCAGTTTCTGCACGTTGCCTCTTGTCCTATTGCTTGGCATCACTGAGAGGAGCCTGGCTCCATCCTCTTGACACCCTCTCTTCAGATAATTGATGAGGTGCCCTCTCAGTCATCTCTTCTTGAGGCTGAACAATCCCAACTCTCTTAGCCTGTCCTCATAAGACAGATGCTCCAGTCCCTTCATCATCTTTGTCTCCCTCCTCTGGACTCGCTCCAGGTGCTCCATGTGTCTTTTGTACTGAAGAGCCCATAACTGGACACAGAACTGCAGGTGAGGCCTCACCAGGGCTGAGTAGAGAGGCAGGAACACCTCCTTTGACCTGCTGGCAATGCTCTTCCTAATGCACCCCAGGATACCATTGGCCTTCTTGGCCACAGGGGCACACTGTTGGCTCATGGACAGCTTGTTGTCCACCAGTGCACTCAGGTCCTTCTCCACAGAGCTGCTTCTCAGGTCAGCCCCTAGCCTGTACCGGTGCCTGGGGTTATTCATCCCCAGGTGCAAGACCCTGCATTTTCCTTTCTTGAACCTCTGACAATCCTTCTCTTCCCATCCCTCCAACCTGTCAAGGTCCTTCTGGAGGGCTGCACAGCACTCTGGGTATCAGCCACTTCTCCCAGCTTTGTGTCATCAGCAAACTTGCTGAGGAGGCATCTGCCCCTTCGTCCAAGTCATTGATGAATGTTAAATACTAGAAGTATTGAATGTTGTGGGACACCACTGATGACAGGCCTCCAACTAGACCCTGTGCCATTGATAATGACCCTCTGGGATCTGTTGTTTAGCCAGTAATTACAGTCAAGTCTTTTCAATTAGGTAAACAAATCCTTGTAATATGTATAACTGGTACTTCTATTGGTAGCAAACAATGTCCTGTCTAGCATAGACACTGGCAATTCCAATCAGGTACATCCTATGGTAGCTACTTACTCATTCAAAATCTCAATTGTTAATTCTTACCAGACGCTAAACTACACTCCAACATCTCATGACTAATCCATTGAATCACTGATGGCAATCCCTTTTACTCAGGTAACGCAGTGACATACCTGAACGTATAAGGGAGGGAACAGATGTCCTAAAAGCCTTCAGTAATCTGCAATTTAAAACAGAGTATTACTTGTCCAACAGCTCATTTTCTGGTTTTCTTTTTTTGCTCCACCAAGAAAAATCACTGATTTGCAGGGAAAATACTAAAGGCTGTAATGACAAAGCACTGTCCTTGACTAATGGTTCATTTGTTCCAGTGATATGGGACATCAGTTAATCCGATACTGTGTTTTCAGCTTTCTGTTATTGATTTACACTTAGCTTTAGGAAACAACAACACTTGTATTCCAGTATGTGTCTCGGAGCAGTTGGGAAATAAGTATGACATGGCAACAACCATGTTGCAGGACTCACAGTGAAGTGATGACACCACATGTAGTACTAAAAGAGGGTTTAAATCAGCACCCAGCCTTGTTAGACTGGCAACTAAGACTACAGGAAAGACATGAAAACACACTGGAAACACCTAAGTGCATGTGACAGCTGGAAAAGAAAAAATAAAATTAATAACAGCCTCTAA